CGTCACGTAGTATCATCCAATCAATTTGTAAGGGTCACACCCAGAGAGATAGAGTCTTGGAAGACTGAGGGCTGAGAATCAGAAAGTTTCTCACTTTGCTTTTTGACTTTGACTATAATAAACTAATTAAAATTTATTCTGGTGTTGCTACTAACAAATCTTAAACTATGTAACAAATAGATTTTGTTCCAGCTTAGCCAGCCTTGGCTAAAGTAAAGATGTTGATTATTGTTATTATTATTTATACTAGTTTTTGCTTTTACATTTTACAATAAAAAAGCTTACTAAAAAAGTTCCAGTTTTTGGATGTCTGGTGTTAAAAGACTGTTTTCACTCCACAATCACCATAAATCATGACATTGAAAACATATGTCCAAAATAGGCACTAAACCTCAGTATAAAACAGAGTAGATTCACTAGATTCATTGACAAGGAAACCACCGGTCACCACTACATGACATGTGGAGTATGGCTGTACTCCAGTTTATGCATAAGTAAGATCCCTATCATCATGGAAGTGATACAGGGAGGTTGTCACTCTTTATTGATAAAAGCCATGTCTACTCTTGCCACTGCCCTATTCATGATGTATAAACAATGTATATGTATAAGTAGGCAAACAAACATGTATCCTAAGTAATTTCCTCTACCAACAATTAACATGCCTTTTTGTGATAGAGAAAGAGGATACAATGTTAATTTATTTTTACCTATATGCTAGTTCTGTTAGTATTCGTAGTAGTCACATACTGATTTTAAGGATTCTAAAGTTCTTAGATTAGAGATAAAAATAAAGTAGAACTGGGTGTCATCCATATCTTGATAAGGCTGCACTTGAAAATGATAAACAGTATCACCCAGAGGCTGCAAACAAAAGTTTAAAATTACAAGAGGTTTGATGCAATTTTAGTTTTCCAGGATGTTAACCCTTTTTAAAGGAAACAAAATATGTGCAAGTATGAAAGTTGAATAGGTTTGTTTTAAATTCTTCCGAACACTTCACCAGGATGAGGTGTACTTGACTATCAGACAATGGATGATATCTTATTAGTTAACCTCAACTAAAGTAGAACTATTCAACAATTGATGAATGGTGTGTTGAAATGTAGGTAAATCCCATTGATTCAATGGCCCTGCTCTAATCAGGACTGATGATAAGGGTTAGGCCCTGTAGCCTCTCTGAATAGTAAAACTGTGGTTTATGAAGTAACTAGAGTGAGGAATAAAAAACAACAACACCTATGACACTCTAGATTATAGGTGGGCAAAGTGAATCCCTGAGATTTATGTGGCCTCCAAGGCAGTTTTTTGCAACTCATGGACCCTCCAGATTTCTCTTTTTGTGATTAAAAAACAAAGGTGAATTATATCTCCCAAGACTCTAGGAACAACATTTTTAAAAAGTGTATATGTTTTAGTGCCTCCCTCTGCAGTTTAACATTGAAACTAGCAATTTATTTCAAAACCAGTAGACTTCCAGCTCTTGGTTGGTTGGTTGGTTAGTTTGGCAGTTTTGGCAATCCAGAAGGTCACACAGCAGAAAATTATACCAGGATCCACTCATAATCTGTTTACTCCACAGCTGGTTGAAGTAGCATATGGATAAGATTATGGATATGAGGGATAGGGCTTTTCAGCTGTGACATTTGGACTGAGGGATCTCCAGGGTCACATCCCTTTTGCTTTTCTGCTGGCATAAGCAAAGGTAGTTTTTATTCCTGTGCATATCTTTGGCACAAAGAGAAAATGAAATCTGTTCCTTAACTCCTTCACGTGCTAGTATTCTCCTGATGTCTGATGTTATTTTTGTTTTAGAAAATTTGGTATAATACTATTGATATTTGATTGTTATTTTAAAATTATTTTCATTAGAAATTTTGAAGGAATCCTATTTTGTGGGTCAGAAAATTAGGCTATATATAGTTAAACATGCTGTCAAAATAAACAAATAACTTCTCAGTTTCTTCTTTGATTATACCCTGACGTTTTTCAGGTGTCACAGCAAAGGTGAATTAAATTTTCAGTCAATCTGATCCAGGACACATTGTGTTCAGCTTGATTTAGATTTGTGACATCATTGCATAGACAAAAGTAATAGACCATACAACAAAATATGATCATTATCTTTACATGATCCCAATTTGTTATGCAGATAGAACTGTTATACTACATAACAAAAACAACAAGATTCTGGGGGCTATACTTCCAGAATTATAATATATACTGTGGTGTATATAGCATGCAGTATGGACTTAGAAATGTTCATTTCAAGACTGTTATGTACCTTCAAGCTGATATGGCGAGCATACAGTAGGGATTTCTTGGCAAAGAAAAAGTTTACCATTGCTTTCCTCTTAAGTTGAGAGAGTATGACTTAGCCAATAGGTTTATGAAAACCATCCCATCTCAATATTGTGGTGGTTTTCTAAAACCCAGGAGTAGTTGTAGCTCTAGCAACTCTAATGTTAACTAAAATATGCCAACAAATATGGAAAACAAAACAATGGCCAACAGATTGGAAATTATCAATATAGATCCCCATTCACAAAAAAAAGGAGACACAAAAGATGGTAGCAACTATAGGACCATAGCATTAATTTCCCATGCAAGCAAAATCATGCTTAAAACACTGCAGAATAGACCCCAATTATATATGGAGACAGAAATTGCATAGATCATGAAAAGCAATGGGATACTCTTAAAGAAGTGGGAGTTACATTTGATAGTCCTGATGAGGAATCTGTATTTAGGACAAGAGGCTATTGTTAGAACATAGTACTGAGACACAGAATGGTTTCCGATTAGGAAAAGGTAAAACAAGGCTGCATTCTATCATCCTATTTGTTCAACTTGTATGCTGAAAATATCATAGGAAAATCAGGTTTAGATGCAGAAGGAGAAGTGGAGACAGGAAGAAGGAAGATATGCAATGATACCATATTAGCAATAGAAAAAATATCAGAGACTTGGAACAATTTCTAAGGAAAATTAAAGAAGAAAGTGGAAAGGCAGGCTTACTGCTAAACATAAATGAAACAAAAGTAATGAAACATAGGTTCTACACAGATTCAACCTAGACAAAGAGGAAATAGAAAGAATTAAAGATTTCCCCTACCTTAGATCAAACATTGATCAGAAACGAGACTGCAGTCAAGAAATCAGAAGACTAGGAATGGGAAGGGCAGCTATGAAAGAACTAGACAAGATCCTAAAGTGTAAAATTATATAACTAAGCATTAAAGTTAGAATGGTCCAAGCCATTGTATTTCACATCACCATGTGCAGATGCGAGAGCTGGACAGTGAAGAAAGCAGACAGAAAGGAAATCAACTCATGTGAGACATGGTGCTGGAGAAGAATGATGAGGATACCATGGATATCAAAAAGAAAAACAAATGGGTCCTAGAACAAATCAAGCCTGAACTCTCCCTGGAAGCCAAATGACAAATCTAAGACTACCAGTCTCTGGCCACTTCATGAGAAGGCTTGACTCACTAGAAATGTCAATAATGCCAGGAAAGGTAGAATATAGTAAAAAGAAAGGAAGACTGCACGCCAGATGGTTAGACTGAATCAAGAAGGTGATAAGCCAGAATCTGAAGGACCTAAGCAGAGCAGTGGAGCATAGCAGAACTTGGAGATGATTCATCCATTGTGTCACCAGGAGTTGAGTTGACTCAAGGGCAATTAACAACAATATATGAGATGGAAAACCAAAAGGTATGCACATACTTTAATTGCTAACAATCTTGCATATCATGAGCTGGATTAATTTTTAAAACAACAATTTTTTTTTAAAAAAAAAACATCATCATCATCATCATCATTATCAACAAAACATGAGTTTCTATTCCATTCTTAATTAGGACTACTAAACAAGGGAGCTGAATAATGTTACAATGTTACAATGATGTTACAATGGATGAAATACAAATGTATTCCAATAGCCTTTTCACACAGTAAGAAAATACGTACTGTAACTCCAGACAGTTGCAGCTGAAAGAAATGTAAGTATTATCTATCTGTGACTGTTCATTAAAATGAATTTTCCCCTGTCAAAGGATCATGTATATTGTGATACTATTCACATCAGGTGCATAAATAGTCATGGGACTAGCAATAATTAACAAAGAAAATAGATGTCATGGTTCAGGAAATTATTTGATCACTCTAGTGTTGAGGGAGTAACTCCACCCATTATATTCAGAAAGTGTGCAGAGTTACGA